GTCCCATAGATACAACCATATCCTCACAATTTGGCACGAACTGGGAACCGAGCCCAACGTCCCATACTGAGCACGTTCAGAACAGTCATTAGAGAATTCCATGAAAATGAGACTAGGAGCCTACCCAAAAGAAGTAGAATTTTGAAAATTGAGATACCGGCGCCAATACCCAGCTTTGGCTCAAAGAATTTTGGAGCTACTTCAGACCTATCTATGACAACTTTATGATTAGGCAAAATTCAGAAACGACTCAGGAGAACCCCCATCAATCCACTGTTACCTCACTCCGACAAGACTGACTGCAGCGGAGCCACCATCTGTGTTGCTGCTGCTGTACCATACTCCCATCCTACCAGCTAGCCCCTTCACTGGCAGGACGCGTGATAGCCCACCATCTTCTCCTACTCACCTTATTCAGTAATTAGTGGAAGTCCTTCAAATGCTCAGAACCCCTGGAACCCCCCACAAAAACACTCTAAAATTTTCTAATACTGTCTTCTTCCCTGCCGAGCTCTCCCAGGCCTCATGCCCCCACCCTGCTAGGTCATAGGGCAACACGACTCACCCCAGCTCCGGCCAGCATCGTTCTGGCATCGAAAAACCAACAGATCCATGAGTAAACAGCATCAAAGAAGCCTAGACTGCTTTGCAAGAAGTACCTAGAGTCCTAAAGAATTCTCAAGACTACCAAAAGAATCAGCAACATTCAACATTCCCCTAGAGGGAGGATAAGACCCTTTTTTTTTAGAACACCTGCGTCAATTTGGTAAACATAGGAATAAACCGCAGCGATCCTACAAATGCTCAGAAGCCCTCGAAAACCCTAACGCACCCTTCCAAGGCTCTCCAACACTGTCTTACTCCCTGCCGAGCTCTTCCAGGCCTCATACCCCCACATCCTGCTGGGTTACAGGGCAACGCAACTCACCCCAGCTCCGACCAGCGTCGTCCCAGCAGCAACCCTTGGTTGTCCCGTGGAATGCCCACCCCAAAGCATCCCCAAATCTCTCTACAAGGCCTCACGCTCCTGCGTTAACAGGTTACAGGGCCAACACCCCAGCACCGGCCAGCGTCGTTCTGGCATCGAACAACCGCAGATCACTGAGTATAACAGCATCAAAATCACCTAAGAAGAGTTGCCAGGAGTCCCCAAAGTCCTACAACACTCTAAAAACCACCAACAGCTTACTTATGAAAAAAACAGAACCAACTAAGATTATCGAACCAATCACCACAAAAAGGATTGAAAGCAAGAATTCCAAACCGAAACCACCGCCTAGCAAAATTTCATGCATCAATTGGAAAAAAACGAAGTCCCCGTGATCAGTCCTCGAACCTACACGCGGCAGGTCTCATAACCCCCTATGCTAGGGTTACAAGGCACCACCATGCCCCGGTACCGACCATCCTGGTATAGTCGGCAAGGAGTGCCTTCCTCCCTCGACAACTCCCATTAGCCGCACGCCCCTAGGTGACAGGGATAAAACCCCGGCAACGGCTGCGTCGAACGTGTTGGTTCTGCCTTCCTCCCTCGACAGAACTCCCCAAGCCTCACGCTCCCCCAGGTTACAGAGCAATGCTCCAGCACCGGCGTGCGTCGTCCCAACCATGTCCTTCTGACCTACTGACGAAGACTAAGGCCCTTCCCTTGTTGCACCCCCCTACGAACTTCCACCCATCAGTGCAAATCCTCACAAAAACGAGCCCAAGAAGGGGCTGATAGCACCCACCTCCCAAGCCTATCCAACCTTACTCCGGTAAGACTTACTGCAGTGAAGCCACCATCTCCCCTGCCGCTATACCCTAATTCCACTCTGCAGTTAGTCCCCTTCCCGCAGAGCGCGTCCTTTCCCTC